GTCCTCGTGCACCCAAGCGGGTAGATCCCTCGCCCGCCACACTATTTCCCTGTTGGTTGCCGGCCAATAATGCCCACGTTCGAACTAAGCTCCGACTACTAGCAGAGAGTGAAAATCTCGACCTCATGGATCTGGCAGAATCGAAAGATTCAGCTCCAGATGAGTCCTTGTCATCCGAATCGGAGAAAAAAGCACTGGAACAAACACCAGTCACTGACAAGACGGACCCCTTTCTGGTCAAATCTTCACCAATTCAGCAACCTGCATCAGTACCGTCCCCATCAGTGTCACCACCACCGGAATCACCATCACCGTTGTCTCGGTTGAAAACTAAACCGTCTTCACCCACCCCATCACCTTCGACACAATTACAGTCTGTATCAAAAATGATAGACCCAGATTCACCGGAGGCTCAACCGTCATCCATAACTTCATTGGAAAACCAGAAACCAGATAATCCATCTGGAGATGTTCAGCCTCAGGCGGCTCAACCTGAGCTTACCAATATGGAGGAGNATGGAGGAGTCTTTAGCCGCACCGCCCGCTTCAAATCCTCCTTTTCGACGTACTCGATCGTCCTTTGCAATGTCATCAGGACAGGCACAATGTACTCCTGCAAAGCCACCACCCACTTCACATGCAAAACGTCCAGAAGGCTTCGTTCAGTGTCGAATATGTCACAAGTCACTTCGGAAGTCTTCAATGCCTGAGCATATGGCTCGACATGATAACAGTGGGAAGTACAAATGCACCACATGTGGCATCACGTTCAGCCGTCGCAGTGCACATGAAAAACACGAACGTATACATACGGGTGAAAAGCCTTTCAAATGTGAGCACTGTCCCAAAGCATATCGTCAGATGGCACATCTGCGGGACCACCTTCGCTCACACAGTGGCGAAAGACCGTTTGTTTGTCGTTTGTGCGGATTCGCTTCCGGGTACAAGTCCCTATTAAAACGTCACTTACGCACGCACGGGGTATCCAAACATCCTAACGCAGTCCCAAATCTGTGGTATAAAGCTTCCGGAACGAAAGAAGAAGTGATGGCCGTTGCTTCTGAAATCGGGCGTCAAATAGAATCCGGGGAAGCAATAGTCCTGGGAGAAGGGAACGAGAAACTGAGTCCGTCAGACAAATCAGATATTGAACTGGGACGCCGTCAGCTTTGTAACAAGTGCCCAGCTGGCTTTCCCACATTTCAGGCACTTCGAAGTCATCAGATTGTGGTGCATGGATTGATACGTAAACATCCATGCAAAACATGTGGTGAGGAGTTCGCCTCAACCGGATTGCGACGACAACACGCAAGGAAAGCTCATCCTTTGGTGAGTGGTGACGGACACTGACCACATCCGAGTTGACAGTTTATTTTAAATCACCTGCCCCCTTACTTTGTTACACAGATTGCTTATCACAATAGCTGAAATAATCTTTTACGTATTAACAACTGCAATTTAATTTGATTTTTACCCCTAAATTAATAATAATTTAATGATAATCTCTAGTCAAACTATTCTGTAACGTCGTTTTCGCGCCTAGTATCGTTGCATCATCATCCTCATCTCCGTAAAATACTGTGATAACCGCTTCGCTGATCACTCCCACGTTCGCAATATTCACTGAGTTTGCTATAAAATGAGTTGAGGGCGAGTTTGGAACTTTATGATTCCAGGTTCGAACCCTGCCACAACCACGCAACTTGGTGGTAGGCAGCTTTGGTGGCGTCCGGTTCAATACCGCGCCCAACCAAACAGGGTCTTAAATAATTCGCCATTCCAAGTCCCTAGGCTCAGGTTGCAGATTTCCATCAATAAACAGCAAGCAGGTCCTTCCGACTTAGGGATTTATCCTGTCTGCTGTTCACACAAATGTGTAACGTGTGTGTATATGTCGGTTTGTTGATATCACTATAAATAACCACTTGGTTGTCGAATTTCTTAATTATTGAAGCAATGTTTATAGCATACTTTGATGTGATTTACAGCAGAATGGGTGGGGTCCCATAAGGCCAAAGTCTCACCGCTCGGTGACGAGAGCAGGTGGCCGTAGTCCCGGGACTCGGTCACCTGGTGCACCTCTTGAACGGTTGCGCTACTTTCGTCTTGTGGAATTTATTGATTGCATTGCACAATGTGCGTGCTTTATCCTCATGCTGCAATTTCAGAATTTTTGTAACCCCGCTTCATACTCTGTCGTTTTGGGTGTCCATCAGCAGCCAACCATACATAGACTGCGTACGTGGAAAACACCTACGTGCTGGTTATCGAAACCGCGCTCGGTCACACTACTCCAAACAAACAAGATGATTGTTTCTATTTCGCCTATTTGCCACTCCACAAGCACTGATGATGTCACCTCGGCTGGTGATGAAATGTTTGCAAACAAATTACCAAGCTCGGCGAACAGCCGGAATAGAATTCAGTTCACCCGAACTACGAGAACCGATTTTCAATACTTTGTCAACAAGATGATTGTTTCAGTACTCGGGAAGCTTTTGGATTTATCCTACTTGCTTCCGCGTAAGTAGTTTCGCAATTCGTGTGTCCTGCGTCTCCAGGGACCATAGTTCAATGATGATTTGGCTTGTTCCGTGGTTTGTCTATTTCAGACAATATAGAGAACGGTGCAAATAATGTGCCAAGTCCAAAGTACTTTTCTGGTCTTCTCAAGATGGCATGGATTAGTTGATTGTCTTCTGTCACCCCAAATCGACTGACGTTTCCGCCTGCTTTGTTTCCATCCGTAAATTTGCTTTGCATATGACGTCAAAATTTCATTGCATTCCAAGAGGTCTCAAGCAGTGGTTAGGTCCATAAACCACACACGATTTTGGAAGTAGAGCGTGGAGTATCGATAATTGGCATTTTGTTGAATTTATTTAAAAAAATCCGTCAGATTGATTCCCGAGCGTCAAAGTTAAGAAAAACAGTTTCCTTATGGGGTTCTGTCCAAACTCAAATTCTTCAAACAATGATCTAACGTCAGAAGCCGAAACCTCGTAATTACGGCTATCCGGAGTAGTTCACGGACCATTATGGTTGGGACCAAGCCAGCACTGCACCTCCATAGGTTATGGGCACAGAAATGTGTTAGATATTTCACCTGTTCAACTTCCCTGGGGATAGGAATAGAATGGAGTGTCCAGGACGAAAACTAATGGCTATTTAGGGGAAAATACACATAACGTCAGTTTCAGAAAAATGAAAGAAAAACCTTTGTTAGAGACATTTACGGAAGGGTACGCAAAAGGTCGGAATCGAACAAAAGTTCATCGTAATCAGTGGGAAAAGTGAACTCTGTAAATCGTCTGGTTGGTAAAGTGGGCATGTTTTTGATGCCCCACTTGTATTGTTAAAAATGCGTGTCTGTTGTTTAGCTACAATTTTCCATCTCATTTTGCTCTTCTCTTGCCCCTCCCCCCTTATTATTTTACCGATCAAGGTGTGTCCTGTGTGCTCTAAGCGCATGGCCACTCTACAACGTACTGAACTGAAAGAACACATGCTAGCCGAACATTCCCATCAAGTGTCAAGACGACATTCTTCGTCGATCCCCGCTCAATCTTCGTGCCTGTCTGATGAAACCTGCTCCTCTCCGGAGGGTAAAAAACTTAAACGAGAAAGCGTACCGCCGGCTTCGTCAGATCGTTCATTCAGCCCACGTCTTCGTGAGAAAGTGGGTAGTAGTGATTGCATGGTGATGACGTGGAAACGATTTTGTTCGGTTCAGTCAACGGACCCGATTAATTTCAGTCAAACAGACAATGGTGGTTATGCGGAATCGGAAAGTGATCACAATTCGGATTCTACCTCGTCAGACTCAGATAGTGATAATAGCAATAGTGATAGCAATGCAGATCAGACTGGGTGCCACCGTTCCGCATCCGAGAATATCGCCGAGGTCGATCATCCTCTCACACCAACTATCGGGAATGACGTAGCCGTGACTGATCACAATCAAGAACCCACTTCTGATCCGGGTCCAGCGAGTTGATTGGAATTGTTGTTTTGTTCTGTTTGGGATATGGAGCAGCATAATTGTGAACAAAGTGGGTTATCATGACTACTAGATCTGTGTATTCTTGTCTTCTTATTTCCCGTGCTCGTGCTCTCCGCTTTTCTATCCCGATGACATCCTTATTCTCACATTCGCAAACTATGGTGTCGGCCTCATTCATCCCCTTGTCCTTTGTGAGGAACTTCATCTGTGCTGTGCTGTTCTCTTCCCCTGTGAAATCTTCCTCTTCTCCCCAGTCCTGTACATAGATATTATATTCATTCTACCGCGGTTCGAATGTTTTCTTTTGTAATTTTTTCTCTTTGGAATTACTCTCAACTTGTGTCCCCCACACACATTGTGTGATTTTCTCATAAACAAACAATGCTCATCGATCCTCGTAATGCATGTTTTTCTATCTTCGTCCTGTGAAGGGTTTTCGTTTCCCACCGCGGACGACGTCTGACGTTGGTTACAACTTGGCTCTCTTGAGCACTCCATTGGTAGCCATAAGGAGCACGTGGGTGATGACAGATTGGCCCTGTTGGCCTGATCGAAGATGACGCGAATAAAGAGATTTGTGCTAGATCAAACTAATCCCGTCTGCCTCTGTGGCGTTTAGTTGTTTTCTTTGGCCATATTTCAAAACATCATTTTACAGCGATTAGTGCACAAGAAACGAGCGATTCATACGGACCTTTAGTGAGCGGCGGTTGAGTTGGAAACAAGAACTATATTCTCTTTTCGAATCAGTAAATAAACGGTTATACAATAAACACAGTGATTTGAAGGGCAATGTTTAGGATATATCAATGCGAAAATTTTTCGTTTTAATTATTTCATAAGTAAACTGTCCAGTAGGAGGCGTAAGCGATAGAACGACCTTCAGCTAACCGCAGTCAGCAATTGACCACTTGTCATTTTCAAACGAAGACTCCTTTGTTACGCGCTCGCAAGCTTATTGCATAGATCTAGTTCGCTGCAGAATTTGCTGTTAAAAAGGTTGGATAACGTTATCCGAGCAAGATCTTCAAGGGGTCCACCCAAATCTAACTGGTTTCTCACATGTCTACAGTAAGTTAAACCTCATTCGCACTGGAGCAAATCAAATCCCCGGGAACTGCGAAGTAGCAATTTCTACCTCGTTTCGGATTGAGGTTAGTTAGATTCTCCGACATGAGATGTTTTAAATAATGTTTCCACTTATTCGCCTATCAAACGAAGCAACACATGTCTCTGTGATAAACGGTTGGCTCGGTCGGAAATGAACACACGACCACCGATCATGTAAAATATTCGGAGGAGGGTTTGCAATCAGAGCAATCCAGTTCTTTTTTTTTAAGCTAAATATTGGTCTATGGAAGCTACCTCGTGATATCCAAACACCGAATAAAATCGCATCGTGTTCGTGCTGTAGCGGAGTTGATATTCCGGTGAAAAGCAAACATAAGTTCACATTCTATTACAGCTTCGGATGTTAGAGCTTTTCCTTTTTTAATTTGGTGAACATCGGACTTTCGTGAAGATGAGAAGGCAACGCAAAAATAAATGGTTCTCTCGGTTCTTGGAACAGCAAGGAAAGCCTCAGTGTGGCCAGGGGTGGATGTCTAGGGTGCGGCTGGTCACCCTTCCTCTGCACCTCGCGGAATGCTCCCAAGCATCTCAAATAGCATCTACTAAGGAAGTCTTACTACCCTCTCATGGCGGAGGTGTTTCTCCCATCAAACTGGGAGGACGAAAAGCCGACATCCGAGGTTGCAATCGGGTTTGCGGACCACTGGTAGTTCACCTAGGGGCGTTGGCCAAAACCCCGTGATTCCAAAACAACCACGAAGCGTACGGACCACGCACACAAATTCCTGGCTGTAGCAGTGGTCATGGGTCCGATTAGGCACCTTGGACTTTCGACCACGTCCGAAGGGCGGCGTATGATCCGGTGAACAGGAAACCGACCCCTATTTAGGCGTGATTTTCACGCCGCTCCGCTACTTTGCGCCGGAGGCTTTCGCTAGCCGAAGGTTATGGGTGTGGAATCCTCAAGAGAATTCACGTGCCTTGACCTGGGAAACTTGGCAGTATCCGGCCCACATGAAAATCTTTATAAGCATTATCGTAACATGATTTGTCTATATATATATATATATATATATATATATATATATATATATATATATTGGGTGCATGAGGCTATGGGCCGATCCTGAGTAGCGGACCGTCAATCAACGCACCAACGAACAACACAGTGTACTGAAATTCTGAGGCCTGTCGTGACAGGTCTCCAGAAGCTCCCACACGGGTGCTTCGTTCACACCCCCGCGTTTGATCTCCGTCCCACTGTCTTGTGGGTCTGACTTTTGAGTCGAAGGCTCCGGTTAGGGTTCCAAAAGGCAAACCCCTTCGTGTGGGCTGCCGAGAAGTACGTTGTTTCACGAAGTCTCAGGCACCCATTTGGAAGACTCATATATCCAGTTCCTGTTCTCACTCCCTAATCTCAGGAGATGCCTCCGGTTTGCGCCACCCATGGGAAATCACTCAGCGTTCAACTAATGAGGTCAACCACTCAGAGGCTATCAGATTTTTGAAACCAAAATCTTTTCACTCAGCGGTATTTAATGTCCGCCTACTCCAACCGATCGATGAACTAGCTGCCCTTTGAAACTTTTAATTTAGATGTAAGCTATATCTGCGTAACTCGCATACAAAATCCCACTTCTATCATTATCTTGCAACAGACGAGTATAACGTCATGAATTCAAAATTGTCAACATCCAAGAAGACAAAATAATGTTCTTGTTCAACGTCACCGCTTTGTTCACTTCGATCGACTTGGACCTAGTAATATCCACTTTGCGGGAACTGATGACTGAGCACCCATCAAACCAGCTGTCATTTGCGAACTCATACATACTAACGTACTTAAAATTCAAGGGTGAAATCTACGAACAATTGAAAGGAACACCACTTTCCGAATTCATAGCCGAAGACGTAATGCAGAGGCTGGAGAAGGAGTTACTACCAAGAATCGTGGATCCAATACGTTGATGACACAATTGTCATCTTGAAGAAGTAGGAACAAGGAAGAGCATACAAAATCATCAATAACACATTCAATTGCATTAAGTTCACAATGGAGACGGAGAAGGATAAACAACTGGCTTTTTTGTACA